GTCGCTTCGGACAGCGGCGCCGCCGGCCATGGAGGAAGGTGAGCGGGGAGCGGCGGGCCTTCAGCCGGGCGGCGGAGCCGCGGCTTCTCCGCCCCGCGGGAGCGACCCGGGGAGCGGCGCTGTCCCGCAGTTCTTCGCCTTGCCCTGCGGCTCCGGCCCCGCTTCTTGTCGGGACCCCTTCTGCGGCCCCGCTCAGCAAAGCGGGCAACGACAAAGGCGCGTTGCATTGAAGCGCCGCCCCAGCGCTTGGCTCCTAACGCCCTGGGAGGCGTTCAGAGGGAACCGACTGTCTGCAGTCCATCCTGGGTTTCGTGCTGTGCCCGTCGGCCTGAGACCTCGGCACACTGAATGTTTTCTGTAGTCAGGCACCCCCATCCTCCCCCTGCATGTTTTCTGTAGCCGGGCACCTCCTCGGCCCTCTGGCTGAGGTGATTCTTTGCAAGGCTACAGGATTGCATTGGACAGGCTGGCTACACCTGTGTTGTGGATGCTTGGGAATTGCCTACTTCAGTTTTTAAAATCCTTTAAAGAAGCTGGATGGTAAAGGATAGGCAGTCTTCAGCTCGTTGTTTTCTTTCTCCAAATGAGACGCACATTAAAATGGAAATAAAGTGCACATCTTTAAAAATGAGTGTAACTAATAGTCAGAACAAGACACCACAGCGTCTAAAGAGCAAGGCCTTTCAAGTTAGGTGATGGTCTAAGAGAGGTGCTTTAATTCTTCCAAAAGTGACTGGCTTTTGATTTAACCCCAAATTACTCCATGAAATTCTTTGACTAGATCAGCAGTGCTCAGCCTACAGCCTCTGTGCCAGCTCTGGCCCATGGCACGGAGGATCAGCAACCACCCACTTGGCCCATCGCATCCTGTTCCTTATCCTGCACTGTGCCACTAATCCCCTCTGCAGCCAGCGATAACCTTACTTCCTCTCTCCCTCTGACATTGGCCTCCATCTTTCTTTTCTCCTCATCTCCACTTTCCTTTATGTTTACCAGGTGAGTGGTGGACTGTGGTACAACCTGGTGTGACCAGGCCGACCACTGTAAACGGTTGAGCTCCACTAGAGTAGAGGAGGGGTCAGTAGCCTAGGGGTGGATCCAGCCTGTAGTGCCATTTGATCTGGCCCAGGGGCGTGGGGCTTCAGCAGATGAATTAATTCAGTTCGTGTCAGAAGCACAGGGAGAGTGTCTGCAACCAGCACTCTTCCCTCCAGTGGTGGTGTGAGGGGGCCTTCAGCAGCAGTCACTTTCCCCTGCAGCTGTGGGTATGAGTACCAGCTGCACACTCTCTCCCCATGCTGCCTTGGGGACAAGCAGTGGGACAGCTGGATTGTAGTGCTGGCCTGAACTGGGTCAGTTCAGCCCACAGTTTAAAAAGGTTGCTGACACCTGGACTAGATTGCTCAAGACAGCTTTAAGATTTGTGGTTTGGCCAAATTGCCCTTTAACAGGGTCTTCAACTTTCTTTATTTTTAAAAAAATGTATACATTCTATTCTCTCAAGAACCCTTGTAATCCTAGGCTGTTTACAGATGTGAAAGAAAAAAATCAGCACTTTACTTTCAGCTTGGTATGCCCCTGTGTCAAGCACAATGCATACTCAGAAGAGGCATCACGTTAGTTTGACCCAGCTCCCCCGATGTCTGTATAGACCATGTGCTTCAATAGAACTTTTAGGTGCTTTTATCTAACACCTGATTGAATCAGCTACAGATAAAAGCACCAAAAAGCCTGGCTAAAGCACCTGATCTATACAGACACTGGGGAGCTGGGTCAAACTAACATACTTCCTCTTCCAGTAGAGTGCTGGGTGGTTTTTTTTCATTTTTTTTTGATGTGTTGTTGCATCAATCAGTATTTGTAACTTTTTATGCTGGCTCATGCCCTGTGAATGTGTCTGAAGGTGTTTTGTGTATTATATTGCAATAACTTCTGAAATTACCTTCAGGAACAGCAGATTTGCGGCAAAGAAAGAAGCAAAATTGCTCAGAAACTGATAAGATGTCTTCAAAGGAGAGAAAGAAAGAAAACCCAAATTTAGGAAGAACACCAAAATGTAAATTCCAGTATTTTCAGTTAACTTTTCATTGTTCTTTTAAAATGCTGTAAATTGTATTTCCAGTACAGTAATTGTTACTGTTTATTTTGGGGGATATTTTTGGATAATCAAAAAATATCATGCGGAGGAGAACTTAGTTGTGATGAAACTTAAAATATAAAGAAAAGTGGTAGTGTGGGATTGCTGTAACTTTTTGCCATGTACTAATTGCATTTCCTATAAAAAATATTTCCTTAAAGTTGCACCTTTTTGGTCTATTTAAAACCAAACCCCACCCCCCACTCACTTTAATTCAAGCACAAGTACACTCACGACACTTTTAAACGTGGAATTATTTGTCAGTTTACAAGCTGGGAGTGGGTGGTAATTCTGCAGGAAAATAGAACTAAAATAGATTTTTTTAGATCCAGTAACACAAATTGTTGTTCAGTATAATAGACATTAAATCACTACACTGAATCTAAATGTTTTGTGTTAAATGTGCCTGTTTAAATTTGAGAGTACTTGAGCAGAAATGGAACTTGACTGAATGATATAAACTGGTAAAATCCAAGCTAGCCCTGTCCTATTTTCCAGGAAGAACAAAAACTTAAAAAAGATAAGGTGCTGGAATCTTAACATACTGTTACCCTCCTTGGTGCGTGTACATTTTGAATGAATTTTACCAAAAACATGTAAAATTGGAGTTGAGTCCATTTTTTTTCCTGGAGGATGATTTTCCTTCAGTGGATTGTTTTGAAAGTCACAACTGCCAATTAAGAGCAATCACTCAGCATTGTATATAGTATTTTGCTATAAAATTCCCATCCAGTAATAGTGAAAATGAAGGGTATAGTCCCACACGAGAAATGTATCTCTAGTTCAGTAGAAATTGGATTTGTTGCAGGGTCAGGTTTTTTAACCTCTGCAAAGATCAGTGTTTGCAGACTAGCTAAGAGTATGTACAGCTACAACAAACAGCTGCTGTGGTATCACTTACGTGTTCTAGCTGTTTATGTGGCTTTTATTTCAAAGGGTGCCGCTTCTCTGATCAGCTGTATAAGATGAACTCAGCTGATTGCTAAAGCTTTAACTTCAAAGGCGCTGCTTCTTCAATCAGCTGGAGTGGCTCATCCTTATTTTGGCAGTCTGCAAACTAAACATGTTGCATATCATACAGGTTCTCTTGTGTTTTGGTTTCTGTGTATGTCAGGGGTGCAACTGTTGGATTAATTTTAATGACTGTGGCGTTCAAAATTGTGTGTAGAGTACTAGTCATATTGAACTTTCTTTTTGTTTTTACTTTGTTACATTAACGGAGTGGAGGCTATTCATTTTTCAACATTTCTTTACAGATGTATTATTTCAGCGGTTTGCAAAGCTTTTCTTTGGCTGTCTCGCAGCTGTCACTAGTGGGATGATGTATGCTGTGTACCTTTCAACCTATCATGAACGGAAATATTGGTTTTCCAGCAGGCAGGTAAAAAAAATAGAATAGTTCTGAAATAATTCTGAGTTGTAATGTTTCACTGATCAGGAAGTTAAGTGAAAGCAAGAAGTTTGAAACACCCTAACTCCTTCAGCCCGTGCCTGTATATATAATTTAATCTGTTGTATCCTCTTTGGTATTGATGCTAGTCTTAATGTTTTTCTTCATAAGCATCTTCCTGCCTTCCTCCATGCTGCATGATATGGTTGGAACACCCTTTCAGAATCCTTGATAAAAGCATTCACCCATCACTAATTCATATCATTCTTGAAAACTAACTTCTGTAGCAGCATTTTCCTAGTAGTGTGTGCACTATATTTTCTTTAAAGAGAAGCTCCATAGGTTGCATTTAAACTGAGTAATCGTGTATAATGACTGTATGCCCTTTTTGGGGTTCACTGTATCCTTACTCATCTGTTAAGTTTATCATTTAGGCTCTCTAAGCTGGGATCTTTTTTGGGAGTCAGAAATCTCTTCTGAATTCTGATTCCAGAATTAAGTCCAATTCATTTTGTGATTTCAGGCAGATTGCTCAGTGTCTGTATGCCTGTTTTCCCACATAAAAACAGAGATGCCTATTAATTTATCTAAATTAATTATTTAGTATTTAATTAATTAGCAATTATGTAGTGCTATTCAAGAGAGAAACTGTTATATCTTGCATATATTTTAAATTTTAATATAAAATAATTAAATATGTTAATATTTGTCATTCTTTATCTGATGTCCTTGTTTTTATAATATCAAAATAGATTTTGTGTGTGTTATCTTGCTGAGAAATGGCACTCTATGGTCAACATCATCTAGATACTTTAAAAGGCTCTTTAGACCCATACAGTGAGTTGTAGCTTATATTACTTTGGC